AAAAACGAAGTTTGATCTATCTTTATTTTTTTTTTGCTTTTGCCAATAGCACCACCGGAACTGGCCGATTTTATAACTATTAAGCTTTTTCGTTCTTGGTGTATTAGTAACTTTTTGTGAAAATTTCATCAAAATCCGAATAGTACTTCTCAACTTTTAGGTGGTCCAAGTATAGGCGGGCAGGAAGACAGGCCGACGGAAACGAGTGACACGTATTTTTCCTAGGTCTACGAGTATTTTTATTCAGAGCTTTACCTCTACTTATTTTTTAACGGGTCAAGTCGGCGAGCGAGATTAGGATGATTTAATTGACGTATGAATACCGTACCGTAAAAATAACATTTAAAAATTTCTAAGATAGCGAGTAAGCGCCACTTGGTGTCTTATGAATACTCCATAATCCAAGGATGAGAAATCGCTACCGTTGAAGCTGGCGAACCGGCACGCTGTCAACATTAAGCGTGATTGTACATTCAATAGCTTATAACTCAAATAAACATCTAAACGTTATAGTATATTATATCAACATTTTTCTTTTAACTGAGAATGTTTTGATGAAATGTTACATATCCGGATAGACCCTTCCAATAGATGAACATTGATAGAACATACAATAGTGCTTTGATGATTAGTTGTTGATATAAGCAATTTAATGTACAGAAGCGCTCAACTTTGACAACCTGACAGTCCTCATTTTGAAACGTACTGATTTTCTATTCTAGATTCACACAGTACTCATGAGTACTCAATTTAAGAAAATATCACAAGGCGCCGCCCAGCCGTCGTCTTGACATTTCCAACTTCCAATTTTTTGTTGACATTCCGTACTTGCAATGAGCAACAATATGACTGTCCTCTAGTTTGATATTTTCTGCCATTAAAATCAGAGTAGTATTCACATTCCCAGTATTTGTCCCCACAGCTCAAAGCAGAAATGTGTTATATACTGTGCCTTCGATAACCAGGTTTCAGGACCTTGCATAATAATTTACTGCAGAGGGCGCTAGCTTACAGGATAATTTTTTGTTCTCACAAGTATTGCAACAGTCTGGTGTATAGCACACATGAATTTTACCGGCGCTGTAGGGACAGTAACCGTCCTTGCTTATAACCATAATTGAACATGATTCTGGAGCCAAAACGCAATGTCACCTAGGAGCCCGCGAAATAGATATACCTACTTTTGAAATTTGGGTAGAATAATTCAATAAACTTCGCATTTATCTGGCGGAAACACTGTGAGGACACGGGTATGTCGCCGGAGTACATGATGTCCCCACAACCCTGGTAAATATTATGTAGAATTTCCTACAACTAATGCAATACATACGCACACCTACACACACACACGCGCACGTACGCACGCACGCACTTGCTGATCAGCTGTTAACCTCGGTAGACGTCAAAGAGTGATGGATACTCGTGAAATAGGGTATAAGGGTACACAGACGAGAGACCAAAATTATTCAGTGGACAAAGACATGCTATACAACTATTGAAGCACAGTATACAAGGTGTAAACGTTATGGTAGTCATTATTGAAATGGTTAATAGGGGGGGTCAAAACAAGTCAAGAAGTTCATATGACCCATGGTTCAAAAGTCAATAGATTTTTGTCTAAATGGCTTTATAGTTTACAACTTTAAGTGCTTTATATCAACCACAATCACCACAATCTTACTAATTTCTATAATTTAATCAAAAACGTTTATAAATTGGGTAATAAATAAGTAATTGGCATTAAGTTTTTATAAGTTAAGCCAAAATTTGTAGTCAGTCAGTAAGTAAGTTTCATTAAATTGAATATTTAAAACACAAATGACAACAGCGCGTCGGTCATCAGCACTCTTATCGAACCGGCAATCGATCGCAAACGACAACAGTGGTGAGCATGTTGTTTTGTTTTTGTTGGCGTACGTCGTCCTGTTGATTTACAATGTTCTCGAATCAAGAGTTCGCCGACATGTTGTTAGTTTACGGTGAAGCTCGTCAGAATTCAAATCATGCAACTAAATTTATCGCGACAGATTTTGCCAACGGGGTGTACCAGATAGAAGGACATTTGTGCAAGTGTACCAAAGACTTCGAGATACAGGAAGTGTGCAGCAGACTAATATTCGCACTCGTGAAATACAGGTTACTGTAGAGCAGGAGGAACAAATTTTAAATATCGTGGCCGCCGCGTTGGACTATCGCGTACCATAGTCTATAGAATCCTACGGGAGAATTTGCTTTATTCCTACCATGTACAACGAGTGCAGGCCTTGTTATCAGAAGACTATCATGGCAGACTAACATTCTGTCAGTGGCTTTTGCACAAAAACATTCTAGCTATGTACGAATCTACTTTAACGCGAGACGCGATTTTAAATTTCCATAATACTCACACGTGGGCCCAAGAAAATCCTCATCCCATTCGTGAAGGTTGTAATGAAGCTTGTGTGGAAAGTGGAGGATGACATTTTGAACACCTTCTTTGAATACAAGAAAGTGCAGTGTGGGTTTTAAAACGAAAAACAATGTATGTATCAAAATTGTGTTCCTTATTTATAAGTGGATTTTTTTAATACGTTCAATGAACTTTTGCACACCAGGTGAAGCGCTGAGACAGTAAGTGTTAAGTCCGTTTTTTTTAATTGTTTGCATTTTACGAGTACATTATCAAATAATGAAATAATACCTAAGAGCCAAAAATAACGAACTCCATCTTTATTTACACTACGTTCCGTCGTAATTTGCGTCTGGTATTGCGGCATTGTCAGATTTTCTTTTACTTTAAAGTCGCTTTTCTAAAAAAAAATGCCGTTTTGACCCCCATGTGATATGAAAATTTTTGCTTATTTTAACACCTTCTGTCACCCATTTAAATAATGACTATCATAACATGTACACCCTGTATTGTCACAGTCAGCTTATTCGCTGAAGGCACCGTATATCGTAATCAGGCGGAATGAACCAGCCTCATTTATTAATGAGCTTGCAGCGAATTATGTCAACATGCTGTTATTTTGATTACCGTTATATCTGATTCGCTCGAACAACACAAATCTGATCCGATTTATGTGCATCATAATGGACATTAAGGCTGAAAGAGGATTGGGTCCTCCTTTATGACAATAAAACTAGTCAAGTGAATGAATGGATGATTCAATTGACTAGCACCATCAGCTTTACATTTCGGCATATTTGAGAAAACTATTGAGAAATAAGGAATGATTCTTGAATAACCCAACAATATACATAATAATGGAAAACGTTTTTCGACCTTAACAGATAGAAAATACAACCAACTAACGTTAGCAACTTACTTACCTTTCACATGGATCAGTCCCTATTACCTGGTTTTGTCATTCGATCTCGGCAACACTGTAAATTTAGCCATGCACAGTAACTGCAGCTGCCTTTTTCAAAGTTGTGTCTATCGTGGCTCTGGAGCATGCCAATTTTGCGTTTTAACCTACCTTAACTGCCAGTTCGTCTTCTTCATCGAACATTTATGCATTCAACATAACTTTTCAAATTTTCCAATCAGTAAGAGTCTTAAGTTGATCAATATTTTATTCTGAGACCTGTGCCTTATCACTGTTCACTAATTAATTCTTTTCTTCGTTTTTTGCATTGCGTGTCCTGGAAGGGAATTTGTAAGTAGCTTTTGCAATGAAATTGTCGTACAGTATTCTTTGTAGTGCGCTCTAATGAAGAAAATAATCATTTTCAGAAGCTTGACAGGAACAGAGAACAAGAACAATCTTTTTTTTCAAGCCTCATTCGGTATAATGTCAACTTGTGTACTGTTCCGCACCTACTCGCTATGAGCACCATCTATGGCGTAATGGCACCACCACTGTGACTCCGGCAATAGTAGAGAACATACAGCTTGGTCCATAGAAGCTACAAATGGCCTCACTAGTCCCATGCCTGAAGCAGATTTTACATCACATCAGAGCCAAGCCATATATAGTTCAAGTGACATCACATTTAGGAAACACTTACTGCTGCTATAAGTGAAAATGAAGTGAAAGGCAGCTAGTTCCATGGTAACATTTTTCGGAAAAATTATGTCATTAACAATCGATATAATGTCACTTTTTACGTAGTACGAGGGCCGCATGGGTATTATGTAAAAAACATATAAAACGTCAAAAAAAAACGTAAGATGTCATCTTGCAGACTAAGTAGTCTTTAGGGTGCAAACAGTCATTCTACGTGTGCTTACTAGGACCGCTGTGAGCGTCCAGGTATGGCTCAACTGCACGTATACACGCATTATTGGTTGCATATGTTTTGTGAAGCCGAGCAGTCTATTGTTTTCATCACTGAGAAGAAAGTTGATTATTTGCGTGGATAGCAAGGTCGCATCTAGATGATTGTGTGTATTGGTCTGCATGTGTATAAAATCAGTGATATTTGCTGTGTGAGTAAATCATTACTGAATATTATATTATTTCTTATCTCTCTCATTTTTTAAATTCAGCAAATTTGCATATGTAGTTTCTAGAATGGATAACAAAACGTAGATCCGCAACTAATTTCTAGCTTTGAATTTCAAGTAAGTGTATTTGAGACAAGGTCCAATGGAATTATCATCGACACATATTATTAGCACACAAATCCTAACTATGCACCTATCCATTGCCGTTACCTCCAGTAATGCCATCTCTGAAGCAGATTTTACATCACATCATAGCCAAACGTTGATAACCGGAGCCTCATGACGTTTAGACAACACGTACAACTACAAAACGAGTTCACAACGTGTCCATCAGCTAGTGCTAAGTTAACATCTTGTAGAAAAACCTAAATAATGTCACAAAACACCAATATAATGTCAAAAAGAAAAAATCGGCATAATATCAATTTTCAAGATACGTAATACTCATGCGGATCTCTCTACAACACGTTTCCCATGTATCTGGTATCCGGTTCGTTCCCGTGTTCGCTCCCTCCTTCTCATATCCGGTCCTCTGGCCAGAGAAGGCAAACAAATTTCCGATACTCTGCTACTGTTTCCTTCTCCTTAAATAATACATTGTTTTTAAGATTGAGACAAATGGACCTGGCTGAGATTAAACGGACTCTGCAACGCTGAGGAGAATCAACTCAACTAAGTGTTACCTTTTTTATACCGGGGCCACTCGGTTTGTTAATTGAGCTCTTTTGCTTCCCACATCACCGGCGAGGAAGTATTGTAATCGCGAAAAATTTTGAAAATGGTATCAATCCTTTTTTTTTGTTAGACGCATTACACAAACCCACGAAAAAAATAAGGGTCGAGATTCGTGAAACAGGCCACGACATTTCATGTATGCTTCGACGCTGAATTGGTATCTGGGATCAGAAACGATCCTTGACATCTAGAATTCACCATCGAGTCCTATAACGACCCCTACAAGGCATGGAAATTGAGTTTCTAATGCCAGATGCGGAAACATGGTAGGTAATCTCATGTATTTTTAGACGATAAATCCGAATTTGTGATCCAAAAGACCTCTAGAGCTCAACACCGGTGTCGAAAATTACTAGAAGGATTAAAAGTTGAGTTTCGGATGCCAGATGCTGGAACATAGTATTCCTATGTATTTTTCGGCAATGAATCCAAATTTGAAGATAACGAAAGCTTTATACCCCTGGAAGTCACCCATGGGCCAAAAACAACAACTTAAAAGCAGTGAAAAATTGATCTCCGGATGCTAGATGCTGTGGTATGAACTCGGTCTACACATACATACACCGACAGACCTACCGGACCTCTTACAAACTTCCGGTTTCGCGACATACCATATTTAACCGAATTTCACGTATACAGGGTTATCCAAATTAAGTGTCCACCATTGGTAACTTTGTTATTAGTAAAAATACAAAGTTGTTTAAATTAGCAAACTAGTAGCATTTTTAACGCTGGTAAAAATGAGAAATAAAAAAAAACAATTCAGAGTCGTTATTTTGATTTTTTTCAGTAAAATAACATTTTTTTAAATGGAAACCCCTGTATATTATATTTTTTTCTGTTAAAGCATCAAATTTTAAACAAAAAAGTTCATAATGACTTTTCCGCTAAGGTCAAAAATAAAGTCAAAATAACGATAAATATTTTTAATTATTTGCAGTATTATAATATTAAGACGGCTATGAAAACAACATGGCGTTCGCGATTTGACAGCATTAAGATAAGCGACAAATTGTTAAACTGGACATACTCGCAACTATAAGGCTTTGGAAAACAATGATAAAATCAAATAATGTCAAACTTTAGTGTAAATACTTGTTTATAAGCTTTATTGTGTCATTAATTTAAAGAAAAATGTTCTCCCATGAAGAAAAGTGTGATATGTTAGAATGCTATTTAGTGTGCAGAAAATCCTCCTTGAGAGCAAGAGAATACTACAGTGAATTATATCCCGCTCGCATTCAACCGTATGAACGATATTTTCTGAGACTTTATCGAAAATTTAGGGGCAACGAAAATGTTTTTGCTAAAACAAGGGCAAAAAAAGAATTCATAATAAGCGAGGCCACGGAAATTGCAGTTATTGGATATTTTGAAGCTTATCGTGAGAATTCAATAGCAGATATTCTCAAGGACTCTAATTTCAGTTATGGTACTGTTCAAAGGATTTTAAAAAAATACAAATTTATTCCGTATAAGTACCGACCAGTTGAAACGCTTTTGGCAGGGGATCCAGAGAGAAGACTTGTTTTTTGCCATTGGTATCTTAGCTTCTGTCGCCAAATGTAAATAACTTTCGTTACCTTTTATGGACAGATGAATCAAATTTTTCAAATTCTGGAATGTTTAATAGAAAAAACCACCATTATTGGTCAAGAGAAAATCTTTTGTTAGTACATCCAAGAGGCCCACAAGTCCGTTTCAGTTTCAACGTTTGGTGCGGTATAATTGGTTCAAAAATTGTTGGCCCGTTCTTTTATGAGGGAACCATAACTGGTGAAAGATATGTGGAATTTATGTCAGAAATTCTGACTAATTTCTTAGACGAATTGGATCTTATAAGTAGACATCATCTGCATTTTCAGCAAGATGGCGCACCTGCCCACAACTCCAGAGGTACTTATCATTTTCTAAGTACTACTTTTAATGATCAGTGGATAGGAACAAATGGCCCAATACAGTGGCCTCCCAGATCACCAGATCTAAACCCACTTGATTACTTCTTGTGGGGTTACTTAAAGAACCAAATTTACAAGCGAAGGTACGATAACCTTGACGCGTTAAAGATTGCAGTTAGGGAAAAGATAACCCAGATAGATGGTAGGACCATACTTAAGACAGTTCGAGCAGTTGGAAAACGTGCCCAAAAATGTATTGAAGAACAAGGTGGTGTTTTCGAGCATCTTCTTTAAAAAAAATTGTTATTGTATTTTGTAAGATTATAAGTCGATGTTGAAAATAAAGTTTGTCGATACAATTTAATTGTCTCAGATTGGAGGCCATAACTTCAACAATTTGTAACCTAGGAGAAAAGTTATTGTAAGCTTTTTTGTTTAAAATTTGATGCTTTAACAGAAAAAAATATAATATACAGGGGTTTCCATTTAAAAAAATGTTATTTTACTGAAAAAAATCAAAATAACGACTCTCAATTGTTTTTTTTTATTTCTCATTTTTACCAGCGTTAAAAATGCTACTAGTTTGCTAATTCAAACAACTTTGTATTTTCACTAATAACAAAGTTACTAATGGTGGACACTTAATTTGGATAACCCTGTATACGGCCCATCCATAATCTTACTAAGATCATCGGGCTCTGGGTTCAAAAGGAAAAATTACTGCCAAAATGCGTGTCCAACAATGCAACGAATTAGCATCCATCACTCGAAACTCAATTTTCACCCGTCGTTATGGGTAGCCTCGATGTCGGGGGTGAATTCAAGGGAAGTGGATGTTTTTCGACCTCAAATGCCGACAAATCGCTGGTTGGTGAAGGAATAGGTGAGAAAATGCTAGAGATATGAATATTTATAAATGTGAAAAGGTTACTACATTATTTTTTATTTCCAGTAATTTAAATCTTATAGAAATTTATTTTGCGATGTCAATAGAAAATACAAATCAGCGCCTAGATGTGCAGCACTGCGATAATGGTTGAAGTGTGATGCAACATTCCCAATTTTTCTGTGATGAGGCTTAATTGCACACAACGCGGGCACGGTGGCCATTTACCGTAATGTTCCGCAAAGTTTTTGAAACATAAAGAAATGGAAAAATCGTAATTTATAACTTTGAATATAACCTGTCTTTAGAAAGGACAACATACCCCGTCGGGCACAGCTAATAGATATATGTACTTCATTAGCAGCATATTCAGTAATAATTTTCTCACATAGAAAACATCACTGATTTCATACACATGCAGACCAATACGCATAATCATCCAGATGCTATCTTGCTACTCAACCAACTTTCTTTCTTTCACATCTTCTCAGATGAACACTATAGACTACCCGGCTTCACAAATATATACTTGCTTTCTGCAATTGCGTTGCAACCAACAATGACTAAACTCATTTTTAGCGAGCAAACGTGGAATGAACTATTTGCACCCTAAAAACTACTTAGTCTGAAAGATGACATTTTGTTGTTTTCTTTTGACGTTTTATAAGTTTTTTAAATAATAGCCGTGCGGGTGAATTCTGGACGTCTAGGAACTTTACTGATCCCGGATTTGGATTTGGTGTCGAAAAATACTTGAAATATCATAGTCTGTCTCACAGATCTCGATTTTGATTTTTTCTGTGGGACTGTATTTATTTCTACACTAGAGACAATACTCTCCTAACTACTTCCTAGTACGATCTTTGGTAACGTGATATGTGACCACGCCATCTGAAGAAAGCGATTCCAGCTAAGGAAAGGGTAAATATATGGGTGTGCTCCCGAAGAAATCCACCTTCTCATACTTAGTAGGTGATACATTGAATCTCTATATACAGGGTGTTTCAAATTCGACCCTCACCATTGAGATCTTCGAAACTGTGAGAGATACGAAGTCGGTTGAATGCGGAGCAAAATTGCGCATTAAGTAATTTATTTTGGAATACCATCTCAAATAAAGTCAGGAAAAAAATAAAAGTGATAAATATAATAGACGAAATAAATGACTATCTGATAATTTTAAAGCCTAACTAGGAAATTCTGCTTTATTTCAATAACTAATAACGTCATAGATTTTTGGAATCAGGATTGAAAGTCCTATTAATCTGTGTAACAATACAATATGGCGTCTATACGAAAAAATAAAGTTAATGCTTGAGGACAAGGGATGAAACGTCATATTGAAATTCTACTCATGCCATGTCATAAAGGAGGAAAAGTGCCAGCGTTAATGTGCAATTCATTTTGAAATCCCATTACAAATAAAGTCAGTCAAAACTGATTTTGGGAAAATTTGTTTTTTCCCGTCTCTCTCAGGAAGTACTTTGAATTCCGAAACTTTCTAAGCGGTATTTTGTTTATTACCTAAATACGCAACCTTGCACCCATTTGAGCGACTTCGTATCTCTTACAGTTTCCAAAATCGACCTTGAAACACCCTAAATATCTATCCAGCCTGATAGCCTCACAATTGAACCAACTACCACGAAGGCCTAAGGCCTAAGCACCCATTGGGTACCGTGGGGCTATAGGGGGATACATGGGAAAGAGGGGGACGCCACACGGACTCTGGAGAGGGAACACGTATGCATGCAACATGCACACATTCTGGCTCCGCCTACGAGAACCGCCGGGTGGTACCTCCGCGTTCGACAGTCAGAGACCATCTACCACCTACGGACACAACATCCATAGCCAAGAGAAAAATTTCTCCTGGGACGGGTCTCGAACCCGCACAGCGCACGGCGACTGATCAGGAGACCGAAGTGTCTACTACTGCGGCCACCGCTGCTGCCTGCCTTAAAAAGTACACTCACTAATTGATACCCGAGGATGGTTGCAGGCATGGTTTTATCCGCGAGCTCATTTTTCGATTTTGCAATAAACTGTCGTGACAAGTACCTACTAAAATTTACACTAGCAGCGTAAAACCAGCAACAGCCTGTCATCATCCACTCAACCTAGGACCGTCAAGCGATACGGTCGTCTTATTCTAGCTGTGGCTACTTAAAGCTATAACCAACAGAAAGTATTGTTCTTAAGTAGGTAATGCTATAAAATTCCGTTCATGTTTTGTCTCTTTGATGAAAATAGTAAATTGACAGCCAACCTACAGGTATATGCTTCGGAAATTTGGCTCCTTTATTAGTAACGCCGCCTACATATTCCGAAGGTAAATCGCGGGGCAGAAAGCTACTACTAAATAAATTTCTGTTTTAATGATTTCTCGAGAAAAGCAGCCCTGAAATAAACAATACACATGTTTTCTATTACGTGACCTACTTTTTCAAAATTATCATTGTAATGTGTCACACTGACAGCGGCGAAAATCTTACTTTATTCTTGACAGGTTGTGGCCCTTGGTAGTACTCTGTGGTAAGGTGCTGAACATTTGTTTTATGTTGAGAATTATCATGATGAAGCAAGCAAAACATGAGTAAACAATATACCTCTAAAAAGGACAGTCAGACAAGCCCACATAAATGGTCCAATGACATTGCTTCTCCACCCTACCGATAGTTTCGTCCAGCTGGAAACGTCGCTTCTTCCCCATACTTAATTACATGTTGAGTCAGACTCGACAGCGCGGCACCATGGCAGTAATGGCAGGACACTCATCAAGACCAAGGCGCAAGCCGGTGAATCTAGAGAGCAGAACCAGAGATGCGTATCGAAAACATTTATCATTCTGTATTAAGAGTAAATGCACGGAAAAATCTATGACGTGTGAAATATGTCTAAAAGGTGCGTAGAATTACTCCTACCCGCTACAAACCCCAATTAAAGCCCCCACATTTTTGCTGTAAATAACAAGAAGCTTGAGCACCAAAAAACGAAGCAATTTCAAGTTTTTCGTTTTCTGAACCATATTTCTGCTGCCACTGGACCAATTTTTTAAAACTACAAAGATTTTTGGTCCTTGGCATAGTCGTAACCTTATTGGAAAGTTTTATCCAAACTGATTGGTACTGTCCAAGTTAAAGAAGGGTCAACGACTAGCGGACAAACCGACAGACAGACCGACAGACAGACCGACAGACGGACCGAATGACAGCCTGAAAGAGACCGACAGACAGACAGATCGAAGAAAATGAGTGACATGGTTTTTTGTGATGCGGATATCATATAATGTCCAAAAAAATTTCTCATTTTCAAAATGTTTCGCGATCACAATACTTCCTTGTAAGTTGCGTAGTAAAGTGGATTCTAATAATACACTGATGGTCATCATTGAAAAATGATGTCAACTTTAGGCGCCACTTTGCTATATAAATCTACGTAGTACATAGACCGGAGGTGATCCCTCGTAAAAGGGTAGAACAAACAAGGAAAGGGAGAGAGAAGGATGAATGACAAATAAACCGGGAAATCCTATGAATTACAAAGAAGTGTCTCCGGTTGCTACAAACCCAAAGGGGGACAGGAGTGTATCCAGAATAAGAGGAGGAAGTAAATATATTTCATAATGAGATACAGGGCAATATGTCCGGAACAGAAAGTACATTTGAAAAATGGGACGAATGGTTCTGTGAAGATGGTTTTTAAAATTCCCTTTTGCTGAGATACAGGGTTTTGCTTTCTATTTGTATCACTCATTGGGGGTGAAACGTAATTATACCATGGAATTACATAAGAATGCATATACAAAAACAAGAAAATAATGTCACAAGTTCATATAAAAAATGTTCTATGGAAATACAAGCACCTCAAAGGACGCTGCTGCAAGTCGGTTTTTGAATGACACTGTAGAACTCAATAGAATTTTGGCAGTACGGTGACCTATTAAGGCCTAAGGTAATGCTCTCCATAGAAAGCATTTAGATAGGCAGGGCATATTGCAAAAATGTCTTTTCACTCTACATGCATTATTATGGCTTAAGGATGTTATTTTGTCTGACTTCTATAGAATGAGCTGTTTTTGTTTCAGTACATCTCTATCAATTGAAGCGATTGGCCAATAAGGTACCTTAGTCACATTTAAATAAAGAAACACATTTCCATCTAAAAGCACCCGTGGCATAGTTATCTACGTCCGAAGTTGATTTCTTGACGATTGACCTCGATTAATTTCTAAAGGGCAAAGATAATCATAAGCTACATAAATTCCGGGATTGCCGCCAAATGGAAATTAGTCCATGGTGAGAACAATGTGTATTTCAATGATACTGAGAACTGGATTTAGTGCAGATCACAGAGCGTAGGACAGATCCTGTCCTCCGACTGATAGCAATTTGTGGTTTATGACTTTGCTGCCGTTATAGATGTAGCTTATAAGTACTTTTGTTACTTAGGAATACTATGTTTTGTATTAATATTGCAATACCACTTATTGAGGACGACTATCGTAGAGCGCAAACTTCTATAATCAATAATTCGTAATGTTGTGATGAGTGGCTTATGATCTACTCAAGTAGTCAACAAAATAATATTCTTTATGTGGTTTATGACCTTTTTTATTAACTTATTTAGTTGTACAAACTAACCCAATAACAAGGTAATATAATGGCAACTTAACTAATGGTGTGCATACCAGTATCACATAAAACGAACATAAAAAAATTAGCTATTGTAACAGTCCCTGAAGTTTGGCAAGGTTTTACTGATATAATCGAAATGAATGTCAGAATTGACTGCTCTGGAATTATAATTATGGTATGTAGAATATAGCGGTGAATAAAATAATACGTTGTTACGGGAGGTTCTGCAGTAGAAGGTCCTCGAATTTAAATGCAGTATACAAATATTCAACCTCTGGGGAAGTTCTGGTTCATCCACTCTGTCATGCAAAAGCTTATGGGCAATGTCAGGCCAGCAATGTAGTAATTGTAGAGACTCTAGGTTCAAACGTCGCAGCAGAATGGATTGACTGGCCCCCCCTTTCTGGAAATACGCCATCGATTTTATGAGTAAAATATTATTTAAGAAATTTTCTTTGTAAATTTTCTCTAAGATATTTATATAATATGCATAGAAACGGTTCCATATCAAAGGACCGTGCTCAAGTTTTGGTCGCATCAGCTAAATAAAAAGAGTTTTCAGTGATGCTTCGTTGGAAACAGATCGGCAGTTATGCATTATAGAGCTTCGGAAGCCTCGCGTGCCAGATAGACTGAAAAGTCGATCCTAAAACGTTATGACAAGATCTTTAGTCTTTGTCGTTCGCTCCAAATCCGCATTATATACGGAATAGTCCAAGATAATCGAGTGACTATATGAACAAACTTTACTCTTGGAAATGTTTGAGAAGGGAAACTTATTGGCACCCAACTTTGTGATGGTATTTGCATCCTCCTTAAGGAAAATTTAGTTCTCTAAATATGTAATTTTGACGTAGAGTTTTAGGTCATCGGCAAAAAGTAGATTGTGACACTCAATGAAGACAAGGCAAGGCTTTTTAAGAGAATAAAAATAGCAGGAGGCCTAGGTTCGAACCTTGTGTGACGCCAGAGGGAACAATAACCATTATAACAACATAATGTGTTCTATTAGGAGACTGAGTAACGAGTCACCAAGGCCGAAAAAATGAAGGTTATCCACTAGAAGATGAATAACCTATCGAAAGCCTTGCTAAAATCAATATGAGTAACATCAACATGTTGTGTATTGTCAATCGATTCTGCTATATAGTGGGTCATTATCATTGAGTTTGACGTGTGGATCCACCTTTCATGAAACCATGCGGTGAAGGTGTAATTAGGCTTTTAACGTTCTCAAAGATAAAAGAGTAAATGGCCATTTCAAAAGCCTTTGCAAATTTATTTAAAATGCTTATAGCTCTATCGTTGAGTACATTAGATTTATCGCCATCTTCATCAGCATAGGCTTGACAAAAACATGAGCACCATGTTCAATAATAAAACCTAGGTATTTGATCTTTACCAGACGTAAGTCTATTTGGAAGCTTAGAAAGATTTCGATACATTAGCTTCCGTTAATTCCTTGAGATGAATACATGGCCTTGAGGTGATACTATCGAAAGAAGGGGAAATATTTTGAGGAGTACCATTATACACTCTATATGGTCGGTAAATGCATCAAAAACATCTTTTGGTTGCTAATGTACGACCAGAACTTCTTCGGGTCGTTGATCATACTATCATCACACGTCGACAAGTACTATAGTATAAGCAATTCCAATTTATTCTTTCCTGATTTTGTGCAACCTAGAAAATTAATTATGATAGTAAACATTACACGTTGTCTTATATTTTCCATAGTAATAATCCTTGCAATTGATGTTACTTTCAATTTCTCCACTAAGTGGCAGAGTAGCATTATGCTAAACTTCGCCCCCTAAATAAAGACGATTTATTATTATTATTCACTTCAATGAAGTGTGACGTCTCAAATCTAAAAATTTACTCCCAAGCCATTTATAAATTACGCTTCCAGTACCTATAACTTTCGTTTCAGTAAAGCAGCTAGCTACAGCATTTCTAAAGTACTTGCACTTTACGATCATACGTATATATATATATATATATATATATACATATTTTTTCAAAAGGACTTTGTTCCCCAAAATCTAGGCTTAATGTAGCACTTCAATTATAATTAAGCGAGACACGTGATTACAGGATTTATATAAAGCTTATAATTTTAGATTTGTCCAAATAGAGTCAATGTAACTTAGGTACCGTATTACCCCCAGGCCCACCAATCCGGGTACTGGATCGAGTATACTGGATCGGACATTTTGAAAATATAGTCACTCCGATAACAGATACATAAATAATAATCAGCGACGCGAAAAACCCCAGGGTATAAATTTGCACATGACGCAATCAAATTCTGAATTATTGTCGAAAATTTCGGGGACCGGATGCAGTAGAAATAAGTAGGAAGTGGCAAGTATAAAACCAACAGTTTTTCTCAAATTCAAAGCATATGAAATAACAGCCAAAACATAAATCGTTTGTGGTTATTACCATCCAGAAAAATATTTATCAAGGATGATCAACATTGTTTGACAATAATGATCATTTTTAAGAGCTGTTTAGCAATATAGCGGCAACAGTAAGTTATACATAAGGTATCCATCGTTTTCATCATCGACTAACTTCACTTTGACGTCCATTTTGGAATTTAAGAGGCTTATACCTTTCTTGGCGTAAAACTATCTATTAGCGAATTGTCAAAAATATCAACTTCGGACATATCTAAGGGACGTGTGCTTTTAGACGGAAATTTGTTTTCCTACTCAAATGTGGCTTAGATGCCTTATTGCCCAGATACATTCTAATAAAGGTCAGCTCTGCAATAAAAAATGCTTTATAACATACTTAATAAGACAAAGTGTTAATCGGTATTAATAAGTAGTTTGTTTCATTAACCAGTAAATAAAGAAATAATAACCGTTTATTTGTTTCGGTGGCCTCTGTGGGTCCACCTATCCTAAGGGATCTCATTCCAAGTGACTGTTTTTTAGCTGCAACTCTCTGTAGGCCACCTAGGCCAATACTTAATAGTTTTTTGAACATATGCGAGAATCAATTTTCCCAACTCTGACATTTAATAAAAAGCTATCTAGTATTTTTTCCAGATTAGTTTTATCTTTTTCCTGAGTTTATTTGTAGTTACATTTCAAAATAAATGGGACATTAACATTGCCACCTTTTCTCCACTATAAGATTGCATAACTAGAATTTCAATATGACGTTTCAACTTTACTTTTTTTGTGGACACCATAAGTTCTTAATTCTGATTTCAAAAATATATAATATGTCATATATCGTCATTGCAAACCGTAGTTATTTCTTTGTTATTTCAGAACATTTCCATGGTAGGCCTCGAATTTATCAGATAGTCATTTGTTTCGTATACCAGACCAGACCTCAAATTGAACATAGTAATAGCATTTGGAAGACTGCGAAGAAGGAAAATAAAGTGAGCAGTGAACAATGTTCAGACTTTGCATACAAAATAACGGCCAGCATTATGAACATCTGCTATGATTTACCTCTGGTACTACCATCACTAAAATTTTCATTTTGTTTTCAGGTATCACCATACCTTCCTATTTCCTTATAATTTCATTCCAACAACAAATTCATGGCCCACTAGTGAAGTACATCAGTGAGTTTAGGTCAGAAAAGTGCGTTTAAATGTACAAAACTCCATTTTAACGTCCATATGAAAAACAAAGTTGGCAATTGAAGTCGAAAGAAGAAACCTCTGATTTAAAAGTTGACTACGGCATCTTTTGTGAAGGAGAAACAGCGGCAATTGGAACATGCAATTTATTTTGAAATGTTATAGTAAATAAGGACAGGAAAAAATAAAAATGACTTTGGGATAAATCTGGTATGCGAAACAAATGACTATCTGATAGTTTCAAGGCCTACCAAGGAAATTCGATTTTTGAAATTAAATAACTAAGGTTTGCCAAAGGCAATGTATGACATATTGTACATTTTTGAAATTTGAAAAAATAAAGTTGATGCTGGAGGACCAGGATCGAAACGTCATATTGAGATTTTAATTATGACATCTTGTACATGAGAAAAAGAGACAACTTTACTGTGCAATTTATTTTAAAAGTCGACTACAAATTAATAGAGTCGAGAAAAAATTAAAACGATTTGGAGAAATTTCGTTTACTTTTGTCTCTCTCCGGAAGTACTTTGAATTTCGTGACTTTCTGAGCGGGATTTCGTTGATTACCTAAATACGTACCTCTTACAGTTTCAGGGATTTCACGGGTGAGGGTCGAATTTGAAACGCGCGGTATAATTACGTTGTCGAACCCATCAGAATAGTACCCGTTTCAGGCTAGTTAGCCTGATCTAATTCTACTGCGCAAGAAATAACTAAGCAAAGTCCTGAGTAGTTTCTTACCTCCCTGTAGACACTAATTCCTCAGTTGATCGAAAAAAAAACGTTGAAGGCGGAATTACAGGAGCTTTTTTTCTTTCTAAATAAGAAAAAGCCGGCCAGACCTGAAAGGTAGATGCGAAAAATTGTTTGCTCCGGGTTATAATAAGAAACCTAATATTTCATTTCCAGTTCAGCAGTTGGTATAAATACGGCCAAATAAAGAAATAACGCTGGAACTTTGAAGTTTCGTTGAACAGGACCGTCTAGACAAAGGAACATTCATAAAATTCGTTTAAATGAAAGAGATAGCTCATTGAGTTCTTAGGAAAGATCCAAGCCGGACTTCTAGTAAAATGAAACAAAAAAAGAATAAATAAACATGCTGCTTTGTCGAGTAGGCGACATCTAGATTTCTGCCAGAATCGTCAGCTTCTAGCTGCCACAGTGGTGACTGGGTTACCAATAACGAACTGAGGTCTTTACAGTTTCAACAGATAGCTACTAGATTCCGGTAATAGATGACGTTTTGTAATGTTCTAATTCTGGAAAGCCAAATGGTTTTTTAAACTTTTACTTCCTACTTTCCAATTACTCTCATACACTTGTTATGCTCAATATTTGGTAGGGGAGATGTAATTGGCGTCCGAGGATACTTCTAATCAATTTATCCTTAAGCTGCAGTGTGGATATGCCTGAAAAGTCGGATAAGTGATACAACAAAGGAAGAATTGTCTCTCGAGGTTCACCTGCAGCAAAGATGGCAGATATCGTTATATTTATATCTGTGGTATCTGATACCGTTACATGTAACTCGTTGGAGAAGATGCAGAATAAGTTCTTCAAGCTGTTGTCTTTTAAAACCGAGGACACATATCCGCCTATTGAAACCGCCGAGCTATTGCAAAGCATGGTTTTGTGACTTTGAATTTTTAGATAACAAAAGGAAAGCACGCTCCCTTTTATTTCTGTACAAAACAGTCTATGGTATTTACCCTTCTTTCACATCACTGTTAAGATCTTTTACTTGAAAGACCTTGTACCTGTAACGTCATACCCCACGACCTAACTTACTACACTATTGCACCCACCTGTGTATCAATTTTTCCGTTTTATAATAATTTTCAGGACTATTTTGATATATTTATTAGTGTATCTCCAGATATCTCCGTCAGGAACGGAAACTCATTGTATGGTCCAGCGTTAAGGAAGGGCGTTTCTGCTTATCTTTGGATAGAGCCAACGTAAGGCTGATGGTGGGACTGTTGTCTGGCCATGACATGTCAAGGCGCCGCCTGCACATGATGGGGGTGGCTGAGGCTCCCTTGTGTGAGCGTTGCGGGTAGAAGAAGAAATCTCGGCGCATGTGTCACTGTGAAGCTCTGAGCTACTGCGGGCAGACTATACTGGGGTCCATTACTTTGGACCCCCAGGACGTCAAGGAGCTTGGACTCAAGGCCATACTCAACTTCGCTAGAAAGGCGAGGCTTGAAGTCTGAGGATTGTAGAGGTGCCCGTTTAAGCGTCCTATGCGCTGGCTCCTTATGGTGGCTGGAATTCTTCTAATTTCACCATTCATTCATTCATTCATTCATCTTACATCAAGCAAATATGTAAAAATGTGACTTAGTTAGTGTGTATTATATTACTTTGGTTGTTATCTTGCTATATTCCCACCAGTAATATTGATATATCTGTCGGTGGTGTAAAAATAAATATCAGTGAATTGAAACCATGACCTGATCACGACTTTCGAACTTGCGGTGATCTGTCGTAGGTTGGTCGCAGGAAACGGATCCGTAACCGGTGCAGGTGTAGTAAGATGAAAAGCCATAATAGTTTCTATTTGTGTAGTGACGTACAGAAAACGCTATTTTTAGTGACACTTGACCGAGATGCGTAATTGATCTTACCCGTACTTATTGAAAGTAATTTGTAATTTGGGCAGCTAACGGAATCTTCACGCTCATAGTAATCTATAAATGTTTATTATATAATCTGAGCAAAGAATCGCGATAAAATCGCATGACTCCAACAACCAAAACCTGTAATGCACGGTATCGCTTGCAGGCCATGTGGTAGGGGAAACCCGGGCAAAGTGAATACCTTAAGCTGTTTTTGGTTATTTTCGATTAGTTATAACTTGGGACATTCAAACGAATATTTATAACCAGCCTTCATTAAAGAAACTTACGGAATTTTATAGCATTTGCCCTTAATACTATTATGTTATAAGTTATAAGCTAAGTTTACAACAGTTGCTTACTATCCACTTTGCCCGGGATCCCAGGTAAAGTGGATATGGTACCTGGGCAAAGCGAATAACAACAGTATTTAGCATGAAATTAAACTTACGAACAAAATAAACAAACAAAACTAGAAGAACATCATCTTTAGTTAATATTTTATTAATAATAGAATGTTTATGTGGTACCAGCTGAAACTAAAGAACAACATTATTTGGAATAAAATAAAACTTAAAAACAGAAAAAACGTTGAAAATAAAAAGAGCATAATATATAAAATGAAATTTTTCTGCTACTATTGCAGTTATCGCAAACAAAATCATCACCACCTTCGTAGGCTGAACAGTCTTCATGGCACCACTCAGTACAAATTACACATTGTATCCAGTTTTCTGTTGGTTGATCATTTTCTTCAATGTTCATTTCACCACACAAAAAAGCAGCTGACATCAACAAATTTCATTATTTTCTTGTGCTTTTTATTTCCTTTGGTAGTCTTTTTAGGCTTTTCAGCAGATGTTTTAGATTTAATAGACTTTTTTTTAACAGTCTTCTGGGAAGCGTTAGTCGAAACATCATCTAATGACTTTAAAACAGGCTTTTTTCCTTTTTCAAATTTCTGTTTCTGCTCTTCTTTTACTGTAGAACTTGTCAGTATATTATATCTTTGTAACTTCCGTTTACATGTTGTTGGTCTAGCAGGCTGAGGCATAGGTCTTAAAACTGAAAAACTATAGTAGGTCTTAGAACATCCAGGTCCAGGTGAAGCGTTGGGAGCATAATTGTCGTGGGTTTCTTTCTTAGTGTCAGATCCCATAGGAGTGCACGGTCGGTCTGCAGCATACATATTAACGTCGTGTTGAGACTGAGAACGCCCTAAAACTTAAAATTCATCTAACGACGATCTTGAATATGGCTGATGACGGAATCAGATTGTTGAGTGGCATTTGCCAATGAAGGTAATGTGGGTTGAACGCGCGAATCAATTAAAGGTGACGCTTGAACAGCGGACTCAGGCAAATCAATTATTCCCAGTGAGAACAAAGTTTCATTCTGAGTACTTGAAGTGGATGTACCTGAAAGTACCTCGGCTGGTGCAAAATGCTCATCACCAAAAGCGTGATTGTTTATAGGCCAAATTCCAGGTCGTTCAAATACATGCACTGCAATGATGGCCACAGCAGTTTTGATAAAAGCTGGTGCTAGCAATCTAGCTACATCGTACTGGTTGATGATGCGACCGGGGTGAGATTTTTGAAAAATATTGACTTCCCTTTCAAAATGAGTTTTCAGTGGGCCGTACACAGCAACATCCATAGGTTGCATTTCGTGAGTAAGATGCGGTGCTAAGGATAATATGACCACATTATTCTTAGTGGCATACTCAAGTGCAGGGCAGTATTTGTGGCTTTCATAGTTGTCTAATAGTAAAAGGACCTTTTTGTCTGATGTTAGCCTTACTTGCTCTACGAAGAAATGCATCCAGTTCAAGAATACTTCGCCTGATGTCCAACCATTAGGTGTGCTGATTCCTTGAGTCTGGCGGGCTTCCATCAAGAAGTCTTGCTTGCATCTTCCTTCTTGCAAAAATTAGGAAAGGTGCAATACAGCTACCAGCTGCATTACAACATCCGATGATGGTTGGCAATTGTCCACGTTCTGCATTTGCAATCATGCCTACTTGTTTTTTCCCCTTTACGGAGATAACCTTTGGTGGCTTATTTGAGGTTGTTGATATCCCCGTTTCGTCCATATTGTATAGTCTAGAGGCTTCGATGCTATTTTCCTCAATGGCAGATTCAAGGTTTCCATAGAAATGGTTCACTTCGCGGTGATTAAATCCTTTCAATCTTGGCACAGATGTTGATTCTGAAGTTCTTAGTGTCAAGTTGGTAGGACGTGATAAAAATCATTCTTCTCCTGCTTTTCGATTTTTATTCCAGCTATCAGGGTGTTGCAAATTATTCCGGTGTGCATACTCAAATGCTAGACTCACATCCCGAGTAAGGCCGAAAAATACTTGATCCATATCTTGTAGGTAAGTCACCAGTTCAATTTCCTGATCCTTGGTGAATATAGGACGAAATCGACCGCGCTGTGGAGAAGCAATTCTACTTTTTGCATGCCTGTATAGGGTGGCATATGCAAGTCCGTATTTTTTTGCGGTCCTTTTGATAGATTCTCCTGCTCTACATTCATTTATTGCAATCTGCATGACATCTGTACTCCAAGTACCTTGCGGAGTCTTTTTTTATATTTATTCACCATCTGTAATAGTAAATGCTTGATAAAACACACAATTCCATAAAATTATATTACTTGAGATGACCGTGCGAAGCGGATAGTATCCACTTTGCCCGATCCGTTTTGCCCTTAGGGTAAATTTTTGAGGTTATCTCAATTCATTAAAAAACCATACATCTACACCCATCAACTACATATTCTTGGAAGCTAAATAATCATGCATTAAATCCTTTGCATAATCAAGAACTTGCCACAAATGACATGATAGATATAAACAAAACACTTACCTCTGTAAATTAATATTTTTCGTATAAAAACACACTTTGTCCACAAAATGGCGCAGCGTGATGGAAACTGGCGCAGACGTATTTGCCGCGCATTTAGCGTCAACAGGCGACCGGTGATATGACAACGCGGCTGCCGGCCAACAAATAATTTGGCACTGAGGACTATTCGCTTTGCCTGGGGTATCCACTTTGGACGGGTTTCCCCTAATCCTATGATGGTTGCGATTTTAACCTTAACTAGCGCTCATGCGCATCCCACACACATTCAAACATTAGCGCCATGTCGTATAGCGTCTAGTTCCCCAAGTCGTGATCACGACATGCCTTTTCACGGTATTTCACAACAGTCGTGATGCGTAATTCAGAAATATCAGTTACTAAATCACACTTCGTAAAATATCTGCTGCCACCAGCTTGTATCCTCTTGCACAAATAGGATTAATAAAACTCAATAGCGTGTACTAAAAATGGGGTGAGGTTTTGCTCAACATGCATACACATAAAAGAACATTATAGAAGAATATGTAAATCTAAAGATGCGATTCCACCAGTGTGCTGAACTGTGCGGCACTCTAATGCACAGTGTACAGCACAAATGTTTCTTCTGGTCGACTCACTCACGCAAACAATAGCAAATTGTGCGCAAACATTTCGGAAACGTTCGCGCACATCAGTTACTTTTGTGCACGCGCACATGCAAGCAGTGGACTCGCGTCGGCGGAGATCCTTAAAATGAAATTCGCTAAACGTCTACCATGGTATACGGTTTTACAAATATAGCGTCTAGGCCTAGACTTAGCTTGATGACGGTCTTCCTCCAGTCAAGCCTCCACAAGCCTCCACGCGTAGCCGATATTATCTCAGCTGTGGCCAGTAGCGGACCAAGATGCAAGGAACTGCATAAGGTAAGTGCTGCACCCAAAATTTACGGTCTAAAAAAACCCTAGAGAGAAAAAGTTTAAAAATCTACTCTCTATTCTCTGTCTGACACAAAACTACTCATTGAAAACACTCGAACTTAAAAAAATCATGTACTTTTTTACAAGAAAGGTAAAGTAAAGACAAAAAAAAGAAAAATATACTAAATAGTATAGTAGTAGTAGTAAAAGTATATTATACTCCCAGAAAGTTATAACCCTGTTCTAAAAAAGAGTTATGGCAGCTCAAAAATCAAAATCGTGATGAATGTATGGAGTCAGTCCAATAGAAGGTATAGGATGTAGGCACTGCCCCATATTTGAATACATAAAATGCCAAATAAAATCAAGTACACTCTAAGAATTTCAGTCAACGATAACCAATTTATAAATATCTTATAAAAGAGTTAGATAAAATGATATTTTACCTGTTCACATCAGGGTTTTTTCCTAGAGGGAAAGGCGTGGTTTCCAGCAATATTGGCCACGAAACAGCTACAAAGCTGGCGTAATGCGAACGGTGGTTTTCCTTAATGCTTCCCGACTAAAAGGAAGCAGATATTGAAACAACCTTTTTCGGGACATGCATTAATGCACTTGGTCAGATGGTATAAAAAAAGAACTCACCCCTGAAGAGGTTAAAATCCATAAGAAATGTGGGCGGTAGCACCCAAATAATAACAACTAAACGTAGGTAGATACAAGAAAGGGACCTACGCCATTTACTAGCGATTAGGGCCGAACATCCCAAAATCTGGAAATCAAACGGACGACCCACGCACCATATAACCTAGAATGCAGCAGGAAAGTAACTGACACCTAACACCTAACTTTATAAAAGAAAGAATGGAAGATATGTTTGATGGAAACTAAATATTCTTATATAGGTTAGTACTGAGAAAAACCATATAGTGGCGCTGATTGCAAGTCTGCGGACCCTGAAAGACCAACTCTACGAGGAACCAACGATATTTTATGAGGAAATGTCTGAGATATTCATTAATAAAATAATATAACATTAGTATCCAAAAGACTTCAACACAATACTGAGTCACTAAGAAAGAAAGATATAAATCACACCTTCAGGATCAGAAAATATCGAGCTCAATAGATCAATAAATTATGAAATTTGCAAAAAGGAAATCATTGAAAAGGGTTTGGCCTAGGAATCAGCACTCTACCATTAATAAAGAAATTTTCAAATTCAAATGATCGAAATAATAAAAAAAGGTTACGTCATTTTGGCACGTTACACATTTTTTAGAGTCTGTTCATGAACTTTGTATATCTTATGAAAGCAAGATACGGTCTCTTCAGAGGCTATAGAGGTATGAAGTGTTTGACATTTTATATAAATAACACTGTCGACTTCATTGTTCTGTTAATGAAATCGAAGGTGTGTTCGTTCAATGACAATTTGCTGTCAAAAATGGCTCCAAGATCTTTGAGAAAATTTTCCTCGTTGTGGTATGGAAATTCGATGTAATTTATTTTACTCGTGAAGGAGACGGCTTCGCATTTCAACACGTTCAAAATTAGTTTGTTCTGAGTACAACAAATCATTATTATATTCAAGTATTCCTAAAGCATTTACTTATACGATAAATAAAAGATGGCTCAAATTTGACCCTTGCGGAGATCCAGAATGAGCAATGTATTGTCTGTGCTTAAAATCAATGTATGCTACAAAGTACTCTCTAATGCTTATACTCGTATATTATAAGACTGAAAAAATCGAATTTGATTGGGAACGAAACTAAATCTATCTAGCTTCAGCAGTAAAACATTGTGGTTGAAGAAGTCGAAGCCTTTTAAAAAATCTGTATATATGGTGTTGGCTTTTCCTTGATTGTCGACGACATCCACAGTAAAATGTTGGAGGACACCTAAAATTAAAAGTGTAGAGCGCTTAGCCATAAGGTCATGTGGCCCATAGGATATTACTCCCTAGGCGTGCTACTCTATTGTTTGGCATAGAATAATTTCAAATACTTTCACAAAATTACATAGGGGGGACACCGGATGTGTCCTCAGATTGAGGAATTAGTCAGATTCTGCCACATCCCCATAGTTTTGGGAAGGGACATGTTTTTAATGAAAGATTAGTATCTAATCATTCGGATTGATTCACATAATACGAAACGGAAATATCTGATTAATAAGGAAAGGATGCCATCTGGGTCGGAGGTAATTTTTTTAAGTCTAATAATTGCCTTTAAACGTCTTTACTTGAAACAGTATGAATATTTGGACAAATAAAGTAGTCGGGCTCACCTACACTATTATTTTGACGCATAGCCGGTTTCGAAGAGGTGCTACCGTCCCAAATTTATCATCCGAATGCTTAGATAGACACGGACGCGGCAAGCAAAGACATTTTTTATAATATCCATGAGCTTGTGGTGGTATCTGTTACAGTCTACTGTGATATGCTAATGTTAAATCCTCCGTCAAGGAAGCGTTATCGTTTCAGTGTCGCCAACAAAGCGTCTTTTCTCAAACGGCACTCAAACCTCAAAGGACGTCTATAAACGAACTATGCGGAATTATAGACAACCTATGGTTGATGGGCCTCTATATAATTCAAGATAAACGGTGTTTTTATGGTTTTGCCTATTTCGTGCTGGCATCCCAACTTTGCAACAGCCCCATACCCTGTATACTTTTTGAAACTTGGTACGTGCATTGAGGTACTTCAAAATTGAAAAATCTATTCTATTTCTGATACCAGAAATAAGAAGAGCAGAAAACTTTATGTTCAAGTATGTCCATGAGCTTGATTATAACCATCAAGGTTATTTGAAAGTCAAATTAATTTTTAACGGGAAAAATCGATTTTCTAGTTCAAGTATATCCCGAAAATAAACCTGGCCACGACCTTCAAGGTCATTTTAAGATCAGGTCAAGTCAGCTCCTTACCTTTTGTCGAAGGTGTGAAAAAACGAAACATTGAATCTAATTTATTCTTACATCAAAACGGTGGATAAAAAAGGTACATTGCCAAAGTAACTATTGTATTGTCATGAATATTTCATTTCTTGCTCCAGACCTACACTTTACACTACTTCCACGTAGGCAGAGTCGCGGGTTAAGCATAATAAGGATACATTATTGTTAGTATTTAATATGCATTTTGAGTAATATAATCAGATATTCTGGTCAAGTTAATTTTAAGAAAAACGATTGATTTATTATATTTCCCTAAAAGTTTTGGCTCAAAATGCATTGGCTTTAATTTTAACAAACACTAAACAATATCAAGCTGTCTTTGGAAATAAAGGTTTGTTTACTTACTTTACTGTCAGTTGACATTTATTTATTTTGAAGTTTTCGCTTTAAGATGTCCTATAAATTAGAAATAAGAAAAAATATCTACAAGTTGCTTGGGCGGGTACACAAAGCTGAAATCTGTGAATATTCCAGAATGAATACATTTCACGCAGAACCACTAATCGAACAACAGCGGAGTACGAGCAGGGAATACCATATCTGAATCTCCAAAAAAGTGGAAAACCACGTGCATTTACTGCACAGAGGACGGAGAAATTGATGAGAAGGTCAAAATGTCAGGTTGCAATGTCAACAAGCAGTCTGGCTCGCTAATACAGATCTTCTAAAAGTACGATATCGTTGGAATTGAGGAGGAATGGTCTTAAATATCGAAAGAGATTTAAGTACCCGAAATGGTCTCAGGCACAACACCTTCATATACAAAGATGCTGACATCAACCGAGGCGGATACACCTATGGAAAAATCATTATTTTAGATGACGAAAAGTATTTCACTTCGAGTAATTCTGAAATGAAGGGAAACGACGGATTTTATACAAAGAAGATAGAAGAATGTCCTGACAATGTTAGATATAAATATAAAGCGAAATTTGCAGATAAAATCATTGTCTGGTGCGCAATTTCTAACAGGGGTGTATCCCAACCTTTTGTGGGAAGAGTGAGGGGTGAAGTTTTGACGAGTCAGAGCTATATTGATAACTGCCTTTCCAAATTACTTCACTTTGTCCACGAACATCATACTAATGACCATATAATGTTTTGGCCAGACCTAGCATCAAGCCATTACTCAAGAGGTACCCAAAATTGGCTTTGACAACACAATATACCTTTTGTTCCTAAAAACGGTAATCCTCCAAACTTGCCGCAGGCTCGCCCAATAGAGCATTTTTTGGGCTTTACTGTCTAGGAAGGTTTATCATGGACGCTGGAAAGCCCAAAATGAACAACAATTGACACGGCGAACTTACGAAAAACTGAGAAATTGATCTGAATGAGGAAGTTTCCTATTTTTCAAAAGACACTCAAAATGAAAGTCTAAGTATATGAAGTACAGCGCTGGAATTCTAATATCATGAAAAATAACAAAGTTACGCTAGTCAGAAGTTTATTATTTGGAGAATCGTGTGGTGGGCTGGGCGAGTAAGCGATGACGTCTCATGACGGAAGCTTATCAGCCCAGCACCACTGCAAGGAGATGCGCCCGCCGCGCCGCGCCACACACGCTTCCCCCTATTATTAACAATGAGTAAAAAGTGGGTCAAAGCTTCAACCTACAAAAAACATTTTATTGTACCTAGGTGTACAAATACTAGCATATCAGCTCCAGATAAACATTTTTTCTGTGTGCTAAAACAGGGAAGTACTAGAAAGAAGTCGTGCGAGGTAATTAATAGGGACGATAAATTGCCGCTGTCGGAAAAGTCAACGTTGTTTTGCTGTGAATCCCATTTTGATATAAGCAGCTATTTAGCTAATTATTATTACAGTATATTCAGATAAGAGATAGACCGGATGTAAACAAAAGGTTCGGGTGATTTTCACGCTAACGCCGCCGTCTCGACGTAAAACAGGAGCCCTCATTGGTCAATTCGCAATTAAATGCCTGTGCCGAGCGGCAGAGCAGTCGTATCAAGGCAGAGTCACATTCAGGTTCAGACGTGTTACGTATGTCGTGTGCATCATTGCAATTTGATATTTCTTTGGACGTTTTCGTTTGTTATCTTATTAAGTTGTTGAGTTTGTCGTTGTTATTGTTATACCTTGTTATTGATTGTTATTGTTATCAACTGCTTGCGCAAAATGCCCAGTAGTACAGATACTGCCGATGAAGTTGTAAACTCCTGTAGTCCACCTAGGAAACGCTCTAAAAAAAGACACCTGAGTGCAGAAATGAAAGAGGTCATTTTGAACATATATAAGATCGAGCGCGAGGAGAACCAGGCATCAACCATCAAAGAAATTGTTGTGAAGGTTTCTCACAAAGTTGGGGTGTGTCGCGCATCAGTGTTTAATCTGTTAAGACAATACAAAAAAAATAACACCTTTTCTGAGCCAATGACCAGTAAACATCGCAAAAGTATTGTTAAATCGAAGCGAAAATTTGGAAACCCTTATGTATATTTACATCATTATATATTTCTTACCCCATCCCCACATAATCCTATATCCATCACCAATCGTATACACATCGAATTGTGCTAATTTACTACAAAGTTACGCAAAGCAGCATCTACTATCTAAAATATGTACTGCGTGACTCTTAATACGTCCCTGCCGAATGTTACAGCGTTCGATGATCACGTGATCTTGTTTATGTCCGGTCTATCTCTTATCTGAATATACTGTAGTCTTTGTATGAATCGTATGATAAGGTAAAGAATCTAAATGGCTTAAATGAGAATAGAAATGGATTTGATTATTGCTTGCATAGGCGTCGGTCAAAAGTGGGCTTAATGTGTAATCATCTGAGAGGCTTCTATGAATTTTAGATTACTGTAGTAGATAATCTGGCATTTGTCCAGTAGCACTTCACGGAAGTGCATGATGGTTCTTCGCTTCTTCTGTGTAGCCACATTAATAGCGCTCCACAATGCTTACAGCCACCCCCTTGTGCAGCACAACCACTCCATTCTAGCTTGGCTGCTTTTTCCTCCTTTTCGTCGCATTCAAAGCTGCCATGATGCTGTTTGCTTTTAACTCTATGTTCGGGCGTAATTCTGGCTTTTACAAAACAGATATCTCGTTCTCTTTTTAACTGCACATAACCAATCGCCTCGTCTCTATAGGTGTCTCTTCCAGACCTATAATGAAAACAGCCAAATAACAATACCCGAAAATGAATGACGAATCATTGATTCTACTCCTTTTTAACAAATGGACATCGTGAAGTGTCAGTTTGAAAATATTCAAAGGGAAATTGAAAACATATCTCATGGAACACCAGAATTCAGAGTAGTGAAATTTTGTATAAAAATATGTAGTCTTGAAGACATAATATACAGGGTGGCCCATCCAAGTGTGGACGGAATATTACTAATAAACAAATACATTTTGGGAAAATCTATTTATGGCATGTTATACATGACATATCAAAGTTGTGATTATTTAAATGGAATGCCTCAAATTTTATTGCATATTCGAATAAACCAATTCAAAAGAAGAAGATCGATATAACATACTATGGGGTTTTGGCTATTAGCTACTGAGATGTAAGGTGTTTTGTCCAGAAAATCCGTCCACTCCGGCAACCCCTTAAAACCACCATTTTGAAACTTGGAGTGCTGAATCTTGTATCAAAAAAAACTTACACACCTCAGCTTTTATCTTATTTGCTACTTTTTCGAATTTTCATTTCTGCTCATACAGGGTGGTCAAAAACGAAAATTGTACTTTTTCTCAAAAATTTCAAATGCATCACCCTGTATATTTGTGCAAGTTTTGATTCAAGCTTTTTTTGTATAAGGTTTGATTCAGATAAGATCACTAGGTTTTGGGTTATTAAGCTTTTAATAGAACAACACACCAAAATTAAGGAAGAAAATCCCATCATCGATGGAAACAAATGACAAACAGTGGGCTAGTTCCATATTGCCACTAAGAGTACAGATGTGACGTAAAAACTAATAACAATCAGTACAGTATAAATCAGCTTCAAGCGTAATAGAGAAAAACAACTATGACAACATAAACAAACAGCTATCACTACTCAAGACCTAATCTACAAAAACTGCACGAAAATATCTCCACCACGTTGAATACACAGCCGTAGTCTTTGGATAAATGACTGTTGCACATCTCTCAGCATGCCCTTATGCTTAGAAAATCATGCTTAAGCCTTTCCTTCATATTTTCCGGGGTAGATGGTGGATATCTATAAACCTCTTGGTTAACGTCGCCCCGTAGAAAGAAGTCCATCGGTGTCATATCTGATCATCTAGGAGACCAAGATATACGACCGATCCAACGATTGTTACTCCAGGTGTCCAAATAGTTACGCACACGATTATAACAATGCGCAGGTGCGCCGTGATGTTGGAAGTACATCTGCATCCGAGTTTGCAGGTTGTCACCCTCCAAAAGCAAATGCAAATGTTCGATCAAAAAATGCAGGTATTCTGTACCTGTTAATCTGTTGTCGAAAAAGAAAGACCCGATAACCTGTCTGCTAATAAGTCCTCCCCAAACGATCAAGCTCCATTTATTTTGGAAATCTATTTGCCTAACCCAGTAAGGGTTTTTCGTCGAATAATGGTGCATGTTACACCTGTTAAAAGGTGCCTCATCGCTGAAAAGAACCTTATCCAGGAGAGTAGTGTCTTCACTCACTTTATTTAGCATTATTCTACTAAGCTCCATTCGAGCTGCGAAATCCTGAGGACGAAAGCCTTGATGCAAGCATAGGTGATATGGATGGTACCTATTGCTTGTGAATAATCCTTTGGACAAAATCTGCAATATCAGTTTCTGCTTCATTTTGCGGTGCACTTAAACGGAGATTTTCCTGCAACTTTAATACCTCCAACTGGTTCGCCTCATTGGTAACACTTGGATTATTTATACATTTTTTACTATATTCCACTGCTCCACTTGATTAAAAACGTTCTCGTAGTGTGGAAAATGTTTCCGGCCTTGGATGTCGCATATTAGGGTACCGTTACTTATAAATGCGAGATGCTAGGAAACTATTTCTTTGGGCTTCGCCCAAAACGAACACCATATTCACCATATCTTCTTTAGAAAAATTCGTTTTCAAACACGTCTCAATTAAAATGCTCACATTATTAATTTTGATAGTTTGTAACTACAATCAACAATTTATTTGTTTCCAAGGATAATGCGATATTTTAGGGAATTAAGCCGGTCCATAAAAGACGTGCAATAACCAAAACAATAGGCCTAAAAACCCTTATTTGTCTAGTATCGAAAAAAGCTTATAAACAACTGAATCCAAACTTGCACAAATATACAGGGTGGTGCTTTTGAAATTTTTGAGAAAAACTACACTTTGCGTTTTTGAGCACCCTGTATGAGCAAAAATTAAAACCCGAAAGAGTAACAAATAAAACAAAAGCTGAGGTGTGTAAGTTTTTGATACAGAATTCAGCACTGCAAATTTCAAAATGGCGGACTGAGGGGTTTTTCTAGAAAAAACACCTTATATCTCAGTAGCTAATTACCAAAACGCTATAGTATGTTATATCAATTTTCTTCTTTGGAATTCGTTTATCCAAATATGCAATAAAATTTGAGGCATTCCATTTGAAAAATCACAACTTTGATATGTAGGTCGAAATTGGAACACTCTGTATAATGGCCAATATTTCAGAAATGTGCCCCGAAATCTCATGTATATTATCCCATAAATAGATTTTCTCATTAATGTATTTGTTTATGAGTACTTTTCCGTCCACACATGGATGGGCCACCCTGTATTTTGTGATATACTGTGTAATACGGATATTATGGATATTGTAGCGTTAATGCTAAATAAATCTGAAACAAAAAAAAACAAACACCGGACGGCCATCAAGTCCTATTGGCGTTGGATCAAATGTCAGTTCAGTTGATCTTCTGGTCACTGCGCAATAATGAATTTATTATTAATTTATCAAACGTATTCACTGGAGTTTGGGTCATCCTAAATTATTTGATGCATGCAAGGCATGTTTTCATTTTCTTCTATTTATAAAACTAATAAAGCCAAATAAGATCATCCACAATACCCCGCCACTGACACCACGCGTTGATGACTCAAAACACAAACACTTTTATAAGTCGGCAGTATGGTATAGTCGCAGGCAAAGGGTTGAAAAAATGGGTTCACGTTATCAGAGTTGTATAGAATACATCATACTATTTACTTACTTAGGTATTTCCGTACTAACATAAAGTGGATTGTTTGTGAAGAAATTCATTACCATTATTATGCCCACCTTCAAAAGATTTGTGGAATCGGCACGTAATGAACATTTTTCCAGTTTAATTATTATATACCATACGACAGTCTACGCCAAGATTCAAACGATAAATTACGTCTTGTCAGCTTGAGCGCTAAGGATCTATGCGATATGCCGTCGTGTTGTCCGACCGCTTCACTCCCAACTAACAATTATCACTCCTATTAGAGTTGCAAGAATGATTATATAGTATTCCTTAAACAGCATTGTATATAGAATATATAACAAACTTTCAGCTAACCTCAGGAATGTCAGTAGTATTGCTAGTTTTAAATGTAAACTACGAAAATTATTAGTTGAAAAATGTTTCTACTCTTTGTCTGAACACCTCGCACTGTGATATATTTTTTAAACTTTTTTATATGTGAATGTCTGTACGACTCAAGTTGTCAATATTTGTATTTTTTAAATACTCATGTTTGTTCCGTTTTTATTTTTAATTATGTGTATGTTACTATGTACCTCCATCTTAGGACGAGTCTTATGTCATTTTTTATGATCTACAAGACAATAAATGTATCTATCTATCTATCTATCTATACTGTGAGAACATTAGCGAAACCATCTTAGAACTGCTATACAAGCGGAATGGGCACACTTAATAGGACTCTTCAGTCATTTAAGAGGTTGTATAAGGGCTGCAGGTAACAGTTATATAACAAAAGTGTAAACCTCATGCAGCCGCTATAGGACATTTGCGTCAGTTCAAGATTCAGTTTTTGTCAACTATACAACTATTCTGTTACATGATTCTACTTTATTGCAACCAAACTATTTCTTATGTATTGTATAGACTAACACATTACAGTAATCTTGTTTACTTACATATCGGCCATTGTGAATTTCATACACAGGTACATGATAAACTTCTACACTGTGACATAGGGCTATTAAATTACTTGCGCAGCAAATTGTATTGTGATTATCGTGCAAATTAGTTACGCAATTTCTACGGGCTTCGTATTTGATTCATATTTTGATAATGATCAAAAGCATGTCTAGATTTTTAAGATGGAAAACTGAACTTATCTGCGTTAAATCTTCCACAAATCCTATATTTGGACACAATTACACTAATGTTTATCACTTTATATCTTCTGTTTGAACAGTTGATAAAACATTTTGAACCAATATGTAGACGTTGTTTGTCTTAAAACATTGGTTATGGCATTTTTAAAAAAATATGACAGCAGAAAGTTAGGTTATGGTGAAGTTGTATACCAACATAATTAGCATAATTATGTACAGCCTCTAACAGTTACTAGACAACAGTTGTATAAGTGCTTCCGTTGGGAGCAATTTGTTGGCTAAAGTAGTAAATTGCACAGCAAAACAACAAGGCTCGGGTTTATTTTATAAACGTTACCATGGACGCTACAACACAATCATTTTGACTAACGTGCAAATATGCCGTATAAAATAGTTATTTAAACGTTTATGCAAAAGTTAAAAATTTGCCCTATAAGGTGTTGTATAACTATGGTATAAGAATATTTTAAACACCTCACTTTAGAGCAAATATGTTGCAGAAAGCAAATTTGCATTCCACACAACATTAAGCCAGCATTTTTGTGTTCAGGCAATAACAATAGAGAGCTTTTATGGCTGAAAGGTTCCTTTACCAAAAGCTTATACCACTACTTTGCTAGTTGGGCTACGACGTGCGACGTTCCGTCATGTGACGTCACTAACGGACCTCGACGCGCGAGACCAATCGGCTACAGCAGCCAATACAGAAAATGCCATAACTTCCTTAAGTTATTGGAAGATTGTCAAAGATACTAGTTATATTATCAGATGCAAGTAACACAGGCAGTATTTTCGACTACAGGAAACTTCCTAAT